AAACCATGTGTAATTGCATAGCATGAATAGGCCAGATAGACTGTGAAGGCTTTCTATGTGCTGGTTTTGTTCCTGCACATACGTGGGTTTTAAAAACAGCAATGTCAGCTTAAGGAGAGTCATTGCTTATTGATGTGGATTCTTCCAAGACCCTTGTTACATTTCTGAGACAGCCTTTTCTTTTTCTGGATCATCAGTAGGAATGAAACCCAAAACAGGCTGAAATTCAGCCTGCTTCTGTGAGCTTCAGCAAGGCTCCAGGTCTTTCCCTTGAACTCCTCTCCTCTGATATCAGGTCACTACCTTCATTATACTCTAATCCACTCATGTCTTCATGATCCAAAGCAGCATTTCTTGTTTACCCTTCACGGAGACTGTGTTCCTTGGTCCAACACTTGTCAGAAACTAGCCTTTTATATAGCTGCCTTACTTTCTACTGCTTTCTCATTTCTCTTCATTTACTCTTCCTTAGTCTGTGTGCCACATGTTTACCACTGAAGACTGTTCGTTAGCTCCCCCTGAGAAGGGCAAAATTACTAAGGCAAGAAGTCAGCATCAAGGCAGTTCAAGATGAGTTCAGCTCCATAGTCAGGCACCTAAAGGTGTCTCCGATACAGGTGTCTCCATGTGAGACCTTGAGTAAATCTTTCAAATATTAATGCTCCATCTGTCAGATGGGAACATTACAGAGCTTTGCCTCACCATGCTGAATGTAGCTTAGGAGATGTCTCACCGTAAGGACTTCAGGGTGCATTACTAAAGCGATGTGGGGGACTAAGTCTTGTGATGTGTCATTCAAGACACATGGGCTTGACTCCTTACTAGTGCTGACTATGCCCTGTGAGTCACTTACTGCTTCCTAGCAGGTGACAGGAGTTCAGGGGTTGTTGTAAACCCTGGTGCAGAGAGTTTGAAGATAACACCAGTCTATGCCAATCTGACTTGTTATGGGAAGGTGGGAAGTAGATCCGGCAGATGCAGCCACAGGGCTTCTAGCCCTGTCGTACCTGATGTCCTCCTGGCTTGAGAATGCCCACAGAGATATGGCAGTGCATGTCAGGTATTTTCCACTCCCAAGACTAAGCACAGAGTGGGAGGAGTGGGAGTGGGATTATGAAGTGACTTCAGTTTTAAAACAGCCCCAACGCTTTGATAAACAAACCTTGGAAAGGAGTCGAAACCCACTTATGGTAGATGAAGGTGCGTCAGTCACCACGTGCAAAAGTCAAGATCCAAGTTAAAAAATAATTCCCATGTGATCCGACTTACAGAACTTCTGCTCTAATTGTAATTGGAGGGATCTCTGTAGTTGCTTAGAAGTAAGGCCTGGAGAAGTAGAAAAGACAATTTATCCCACAGTCTGTGAGAATTGTACATTGTATGAAGATGTCACAGACAAGTAACAAGGAAGGGTGGGAATGAGAAATGCATGGTCAATATGACAAAAGCCAAGGCATGCTTTGTCATTTCATAGAATAAAAGAATTATAGAATCACAGAATAGTTAGAGTTGGAAGGGACCTTAAGATCATCTAGTTCCAACCCCCCTGCCATGGGCAGGGACACCTCACACTAAACCATGTCACCCAAGGCTCTGTCCAACCTGGACTTGAATACTGCCGGGATGGAGAATTCACAACTTCCTTGGGCAACCCATTCCAGTGCCTCACCACCCTAACAGTAAAGAACTTCAAAGCTAAACTTCCCCTGTTTAACCCATTGACTTTTGTCCTGTCAGTACAGTCCCTAATGAAGAGTCCCTCCCCAGCATCCTTACAGGCACCCCGTTCAGATACTGGAAGGCTGCTAGGAGGTCTCCACGCAGCCTTCTTTTCTCCAGGCTGAACAGCCCCAACTTTCTCAGCCTATCTGCATACGGGAGGTGCTCCAGTCCCCTGATCATCCTCATGACCCTCCTCTGGACTTGCTCCCTGTCCTTTTTATGTTGAGGACACCAGAACTGCACATAATACTGTGTGAAGTCTGTTTGAAATAGCCATAGAATGATTTCTGTGTCAACACAGTAAAAAGTACTGGAGAAGTCTTTATATCACTCTATGGTTCCTGTTGACATCCACCCACTGATCGCACGCCCTTAAACCCAGGTCCAGATCCTGCTCATCACTAGGATGTGATGAAATTTGCATTCACAGAGTCATGAATTTTTAAACGACAGGAATATGTCAAAATGTCTAGTGGTACTTCATTCCCCCCCTCAGATCTTAGTGCAGATGAGGAGGCAAAGAACTGTTTGTGAGAGTGGGACTCATCCCACCTGACTGCTGGTGTTCACAAGTCCCCTGACAAGGGATGGAGTCAGACACTTCAGGAGCATGAGTCAACCCCTCCCTGTCCCACACATGGATCTTAGGACAGGGTGAATCACTTCCTGGGGGTGTCTGCCTCTCTCTGTTGACTCGAGGGGATGTTCAGATGACTATCAGCAGGCAAGGTACCCTGCAATGTGGGTGATTCAACAAACATACTCTCAGACAGCTCTGTGCAATTTACAACAAAGACTATGATTAGTGTAGGTTTCTGCACTGAAAACATTACAGTGGGAAAAGCCTTTATGTTTTTGTTTCTGGTGTATTTTATTCCTCTTTCTTTTCTGGAGTAAATGAACCCAACAGAAACATTTTTAAGCCAGTGTGACACATCTGTCTCCTGTGGGTTGGCATTGCTTGAGTTTCAGTAGAACAGGTGCATCTAATGCCATACAACTTTCTAGTATAACAGCACTAAAATAAGAAAATACCTTTCTTTTTTTTTTTTTTGCTGCTAATCATGGGAAGTTTTTTGTAACTGAGTAGCCAGAAGATACTGCAACAAACAGTACTTACGCACATAGAATCACTTACTTTAAGAGTAGTGTGGCATTGCTCAGCCTTCCAAAACTGTTAGCTAACTGTGTCTACCAAAAGTGTAATTCATCTGGTAGTTAAAAGTAAACTTACTCTACGTATGTTTGGGGGTGAGGCTATTCACTTTCAGAAATTTTCATCCATTAGGGTCCCCAAGTCCTATATAAAAGTGTTTCTGACTGGGGACTTCAGACTTCAGGAAAATTGTGTTTTAGATGGTGGCCTAAAGCTAGCCTCTTTGATAAGGCCACTGATCTTACTGGTTTGTGGTTTATTGTATTTAAAAGTTCAGTCTGAAATGCTAAAGCACGTGTGAGCCCAAAGGCAAGGTATTCAGAGAGAAACTCCAGAGCTGATGGAAAGGTGTAGTTTTGGTGGACCTGCAGGCTGGGAGAATTTCAGTGAGGGCAGAAGTGGAGGTCTGCCATCCTTCTCCATCGCCTGTCCTCCAGACATAGCTAGGCTGGAAGTGGAAAAGTGACCCCACCACACTGTGGGGTGGGCTCCTTAGAAAGAAGATGAAGTTTCTAGAGTGAGGTCTGAAGAGCCAGTGGATCTTCTTTCCATTCCCAGGAGAGCCAGGTTCTTGTGGGTAGGAGAAAAGTGAGAAGACAACAGAAAAAGAAGAAATTTAGGGTTTCAAACATTTTAGCTTTTCAATCCAGAGCTGCTGCAGCAAGCTGCTCGTTGGGTTTTCTTAAAGTAATGAAGGCAAAAAAAAGAGATTGACCTATCTTCCAGTGCGTTACACATCAGAAATGGAGGGGCATTTGTTACTGTTTGTTTTGGTTGAAACCATTAGCAGTTTTCCTTCGGTTTTTATAGGTGATGTTCCCAGACAGATCTTTGACCAAGGCCCAGTCAAACTATAGCCACCAAACTTCTGAGCTTCCCAGACATGGATCTTAGTGCGTCATCTGTTCCCTCACCTGCAGAGCAGTTGTCCAGTGAGCAGCAGTGGGAGAAAAGGAGCAAGATGCCAGTGGCCCTTTCTTTTCCCAAGGATCTTTCAAATATGTTTCATTATGATGCTTTGCTCGATGGATTGTTTAATTTACCCTTGCAATAATCAATTGTATTTTATTTCTAAAAGCTCTGAAGTGTAATGGGGCACTGTTTTATCCTTTGGAGCAAATAAATAGTTTAAGTGTTGACTGTGATGGAGAATAAGATCAGGCCTCTTTGGAATATCATGGAGTATCTGTCCCGTGCCAAGGTGCAGGGGATGAGTTGGAAACTGAGGGTGAGCCTGGTGCAGGCAATGCACTCACTGATGGGAACGAGTCCCACAGGGGCTGAGTGCATGTTGGTAATGGCTCCCTCAGTGGTCTCAGACAAGGCAAGGGGTTGGACCAGATCCAAGGACTCTTCAAGGGGTCCCACCAGGAGCAGAATGAGACAAGGCTGGAGACATGACTACAGCTTAGATCTGTGGTCCACCCAGGAGACAAGACTGTAAATAAGCTACCTTCAATATAGGTCTCAAGTCCATTATTGAAACAGAGCAGGGAGTTTCTGTAGGGATCAGAGTATTTGGATTGAGACTATTTGGAGGATACTGATGAGTCTCGATGTTCCTTGTGCTTATATATTCATCTACGTGGGAATACAGGGTGACAAAAACCTGCCTATTTTTCCCAAAGGATTCCTAATTAAGGCAGAATCAAGTGCAAGTCAAAGTGAGTGTTGCTTTTATGAAAGTCTTTTAGAACAAATAAAAGAATCCATGCAGTTACAGGGAATATGGATGTCCTGCACTTGCCATGGTGCACTGCAAGGTAGACCCCTTTCTCCTGAAGATGGGATTTGGATGTCAAATTCTCAAGTGTGGATCTAATAAGGATGAGGACAGAGGTTGTACACTGTAAGAAGAGAAGAGCTGGGGTGGTAGCAGAGCCAACAGCTCATGAGCATGAGCTGCATAATGTGCTTTGTCAGAGAACTCGTGCATACAGCATCCTTTCCAATTCCTACACTGATATTTCTGTATTTCTCTCCTCCAGACTATAAGGACAACCTGACGTGAGTTGAACCTCTGGGCTACTGAGCCTGCCCCAGATGCAAAAATTTAGTGAGCAGATGATGTTTTCAACCAAACCTCCTGTCTAACTCAGTGGATCTGTGTGTCTTCCGGCAGGTGTGTCCTCTGTGGCCTCCCTGATGTCCCTGGCTTGGGTGCTAGCCTCCTATCACAAGCTTCTTCGGGACTCTAGGGACGACAAGAAGAGTATGAGCTACAGAGGGGCCCTCATCCATGTCTTCTGGCGCCTCTTCACCATCTCATCTCGAGTTATTTCTTTTGCTCTCTTTGCTTCCATTTTCCAGCTCTACTTTGGGATCTTTGTAGTGGTCCATTGGTGTGCCATGGCTTTCTGGATCATCCATGGTGGGACAGATTTCTGCATGTCTAAGTGGGAGGAGATCCTCTTCAACATGGTGGTAGGGATTGTGTACATTTTCTGCTGGTTTAATGTCAAGGAAGGGCGGACTCGATACAGAATGTTTGCGTATTACACGGTAGTCCTGACGGAGAATGCTGCCTTGACGCTCCTTTGGTATTTTTACAGAGATCCTGACACTACTGACTCATATGCCGTGCCAGCACTGTGTTGTGTCTTTCTTAGCTTTGCTGCTGGGATAGCTTTGATGCTGTTATATTATGGTGTGCTGCATCCCATGGGGCCAAGAGCTAAGATCTTTGCCAGCTCCTGTTGCGCCGAGCTGCTCTGGGGCATTCCTTTGCCCCCCGATGTTGAGCCCATGGCACCCGAAACCCCTGGGTACCGGGGGGCCCAGGCTACGCCCACCAGAGCGGTCACGGAGCAACAGGAGGAACTCACGGCTGACACTTGCTTGCCCGTTTTCCAGGTGAGAGCAATGGTACCATCTACTCCATCTGGGCGACCCTACCCCCCCGAGGGGCCTCTCATTAAGATTGACATCCCAAGAAAAAGATACCCTGCATGGGATGCTCATTTTGTAGACAGGAGGTTAAGAAGAACTATCAACATCCTCCAATATGTCACCCCCACAGCTGTAGGTATTAGGTATAGAGATGGACCTCTCTTATATGAGTTGCTACAATATGAATCTTCACTTTAAAGCTCCTTAAAGCAAAAGTAAAAGAGGGGACCTTATTTTTGTTTACGGTAAACACAGATCATGAAACAAACACAAACCTTCAGATAAGCTTTCTTTCTGGTTGCTGTATGTATAAAAAAAAAAGATATTCTCTATGTTTTGTAAGTAAAAACAAAAAGAAAAACTTTTCTTTTGTTTTTTACACACAAGAAACAGTATTTCAACTTCCACACCTAGGATTCACAGGTGGAGAAGGAGGCATCTCCACATCAGTTTTATACCGTACACCAAGTGTAGAACATTATCTATGGGATTGGTGCTGATTGAAAAATAACAAACAAACAAACCTACAACTGCCTTATGCCCTTAGGTGCTGAGTTTCATTAAGTACTGTCACCTTTCTCATGCAAAACTCTTTAACGATTATATGCCAGGAAAAAAAAACAAAAAGAAACAAAAAAAACAACCAACCAACTGAAATGCAAATCTTAAAACTAAAAAAAAAAAAAAGAGAAAAGAAAAAAATAAACAACAAAAAGAGAGAAATTTACGATTGAAAAAAGAAATCTTGTTGCTCTGATTTGATTTAGCAGAAAAAAAAACCCAAATGTCTAAAGACAAGAAAGCAAAGCCAAGGCATCCCCAGTGGAGTTTGATTTTTCCAACTGAAAGACAAAATCAGGTCTGTAACTCAATTCGGCAATGCATTTATAACACCGTTTGGCCAAGCATGTGAACCTTGACCAAGTCGTGTTATAAACATGATCCCACCATGTAGCCGTTTTCCTCGTGTAAATGGGCCATGTGTAATGGTCGATTTGCACCCCATTAATGTGGTAATACAGTATCTGATCTTGTTTCAAACAATTGCACATGCTAAAGTGCCACTGCCTTCAGTGGAGTAAATAAGAACCGTCTGAGCCCAGAATAAGGCCCGCCACCTTGATTTCTGGAAAATAAGAAATCTGCAAACATTGAAATTATATACCAAAAACATTATACTAAAGTACATTTACACATGTCTAATAACTATTTCAGTAATAATAAAACTCAGCATAGTAGCAAAAAGCGAGTCAATTTAAAGGCACAATACTTGATCAGTGACTGGCAAAATAATTTGACCTACTGTATCATTTTAAGGCTGTGAAAGGCATACATGTATTATTTGTAATCTTGTGTAAGACTTGTCATGTCTCATTCAGTGCGAGCCTTAAAGTGATTGTAAAGCATCCTTCGTTCCATTTTGGGGATTTTGGGTTTTGATTTTTGTTTGGTTTTGTTTTTAAGGAAAACAAAACATGAAAATTGGGATAAAAATCAAAAAAAAAAGAAACAAAAAAGCAAACAACAACAAAACAACCAACAAACTTCTTCAAACGATAATAACCTGTAAACTGACTCACATCTAGAGATGATTTGGTGCTTTGTATTTTTGTTGATGTTGTTGTGATTTAGCTGAGAATTCTTCAACCCGGTACATGTGGGAAACTGCTGATAAAAACTGTCTCGTGTCACCCTCTACTGTAAGTACATGGCGAGAAACACCACCAGAGGAAATTCAGGAGCGTAGCGAGAACATCGTGGTTTAGCTTAGCCTTCTCACCGCAAGGAGATGCTGCCACCTCCGTTGATGGCAAAGCCTAGATGGTCACCTGCTGAGAGTTGTGTGGTTGTGTTGACGTTTCCAAATAGCCCGCTCAGTGTCTGAACATTCACATCTCTCGAATGCTGTTTCTGTGCTGGAACCTCTTTTTTCAAGTTAAATCATGGGTTTGCATCTATCTAACACCTTTTTCCTTTTTGAGAGTATTGCTCCTTTAAAGGAATATTCCCGTTTCAGGGCATCTTTTCAATCCCACCATCCCTCTACTTGGGAGGGGAAAAACAACAACAAAATGAGATATTTTTAAGTGAATGCTGTAGTATTTTCTGTGTGTAATTGCAATTTTTTATTCCAGAAATACTGTAACTGTCTAGGGTGCAAAACTCCCATGCTGACCTATCCTGAAGAGGAGATCAGCATGGGGGGATATTTTTTAATTATGATTATGATTTTTCTGTTTAATTTGAGGAATCAGTTGTTTTTTTAATTATATAAGTATTTAAAGAAACTAGTACCAATTTTATATAACAGTTTAAAGAAGCTGAATGCTTTCTTCGCCTGAATATACCTGAAGAGAAACATTTTTTTCAATCAGTGATCCTTTGCAGTGTTCTGAGAAAATGTTGGGGTTTCCTCAGTTATTTCATTTTGCTTTGTAAAGAAAACTTTTAACTGGTGCCTGTCCCTTTCAGGGAGGGCAGGACTCATTCACGCCAAACTATAGACAAATGGCAAAGTTTATAAGAAGCCAAATTGTCGCTGGTACTGTAATTCCCAGTCAACTCCATTTCAGGCAAATGTTTCTGGGCTCTGATTACAACCAGTATGATGATCACATTTTCATGCAAAGGGAGGGATTTTGTCTTGTCTTCCCCTATCTAAATTCACAGTCCCTTGTTTACTGTGCACATAAATACATATATATATATATGCACACTTATATGTATTTGTGAAAAGCTTTCATTTCCCTTCTCCGTTGTGTGTGTCCCATAACCAGTCCCTTCTCAAGTGTCCTATTAACATTTCTGCCTGTTTCTTCCCTAATCAGTATACTGTCTCCATAAAGAGGGGTAATTTGTGAAGTGAACTTGCTATCCCCAGATACTGAGACATAAAAAACCAGAGGTGCCCATCCTCCAGCAACAGGTCTGCATTTCTCTTCCCAGGATTTTCTTCTGACTTAAATTTAATACTAGTGTAGACTTAGTTTCTCTGAGAATCATTCCCTGTGTAAAGACCCTCCTTGGTCCTTCCATAAAGAGCTCTCCTCTACACATAGAATCATAGAATGGTTACATCTGCATTTCATGGGCATAAGCATGAGAAAGGAATGGATGACAGACAACCCTGCTGTTCCTTGAGGACCTTTCCTCCAGGAAATAGCATCCTCATTTTCAAAAGCATTATGAGAAGGTCCCCTTCCCCAGACTGGTCAACCTTGAGGTCTCGTTTGGAGATGTGAACCCACTCCCTGGCCCAACTGAAGAGCTGGACCGTGCCACATTGCACCAGGACAGTGAAATGAGTCAACAAGCCAAGGCACATTTATCAGGAGTCAAGGAAGAGACCCTTCAGTGTTGCTTCTCATGAACATCTGCAGCCTGCCTTCCCTCAGGAACAGGACCCTTGCTCCAGAACGCCACAGCAACAGCCGTCCTCTCCATCCTGTTATGGGAGTAGAGGGACAAAACACTCTAGAAGTGACCTTACGTCTCAATACAGTGCTAATTTCTCACAGCCAAACCAGCTTGACCAAGGGCTTGACACACCCCTCCAAAGTCCTTTTTCTTCGTGGCTCGTAGTATGGATAACAATGAAGGCAGGTGCCTCCACTGCATACTAAGACTGTTTCATTGTGCTTAGTTGCATAAACTTTCTGCCTCAGCTATTAGTCCTTTCTTTGAATGATATCCACTGGCATCCTGATTTAAGCAAAAGATTTCCAGTGAGAGCCTGTGTCAACCCTGAAGAACTATTTCTCTTTGAAGGACTTCATTACAGCCTTAACGTAAAGCACATGCTCTACCACTACACCCAACGAGTTCAAGGTGGACAGTTTGGTGTGGTGACCATTTCCTCTTGGGATTATCTGTGATCTTGTTGCCAAACAGCGCCTTTTGCCAATCCAAAAGCTCGGGGAGGAAAATTACTCCTAGCTCTTTATTGGTACTAACCCTAGTGCTAAAAGTCTAGTCTTTTCCTGTTTACTTTTTTTCCTAGGGTCTCTTTGATTTTTGGTGTGCACTTTGGCAGGATGGTTAATGACTTGTTTTGGTTTCACTTGGTTCTTAACTCCTCAGCTTCTCCCTGGTAGCTTACTTACACCATGTCCCACCTTCTTGCCAGAAGATACTGTGTGATGGGTTTTTCAAACTGTCGTGGAGAAGGTTGAGTCCATATTTATTCACATCACGAGAGCAGTGAGCAACTTCTCTGGCATGTTTGTGCTGCTGGATTCACCCTGGGATCACCTAAACCAGCCAACTGTGCCATGCCAGGGCAAAGCCTGCTCTAGAGGACTCCACCATGCCCACTGTTAAATTTTTCAAACCTTCCCTGGCATGGTTTTGGCCCACTCCAATGAGCCCTGGGCTTGGATGCAGCTTGCACAGACATTGATGCTGGCCAGAGACCATCCCCAATTGGCAGTTTGGATGCAGACGCTCTATATTGATGGAGAAAGAGTTTAGCAGCATGGATGTGGCCAGCACTTGTCAGTTGGCTCATGGCCCAAATGGATCCTGGCAGTGCTTAATTTACTAATAAAGATGCAACTATGTGCCACAGACCCGGATTCAGGACTCAGTGGAATAAATCAGCTTCAACTTGGCATTCTTCTGTTTTTCTGCCTGGTTCAACGGACAAGGTGTTTTTTTGGTTCACTTTGTTCTTTTTGCTGACGTTATTTTGCAAACAACATCACTTTTATGGTGCTGATGTCAACCCATCCATCCTTCCATCTGTGTCAGATGGCTGGCATGCTTAGTGTGATAAAGTTATACATCTGTAGGCAGCTAATTTGGAGACAGGAGTGATTCAGACCAGACCAAATCAACAATGGAAATATGGGAATTACAAGGTCCCTGCCCATGCCCTTGTCATGCTTTGCCACCCACACAAGGCATTTTTCATCTGCAGCATATCCAACCTGAACTGCAGAAGAGGAGACAAAGTATAATTGCCAGTGGAAAGTGTAAGCAAGCCGCTGATTTTGAGTGCTAATATATATATATATATATATACAGTGTTTTAGATTGGAGCTAATTGTCTGCTTCATCCTATCCTTCCCTGCACCTGCCACAAGTCAGTAGTCATCTGCATGTATTTTTATTTACATGTATTTTTATTTAATTCTGAATAGATGAAAGAGGATAAAATTAATTTCAAGCTTTAGCCAGTGGTCTGCTAAAACCTGGCTGATGCTACCCCACAAGGGTATTGACTATCAGAGTACAGTTATCCTGTGCTCTTCTGATATATTTCTGTACACACAAGATTCACTTCACAATTTATCTCTATTCCTTGTCCCCTACACAGAAATGTATGACACACTTGTCACCCACATACCTGCAGCATGACTAAACCTCCTGAAGAAAATGTGGTCTGAGGTTCGTCCAGCATGATTTCATTGAAGCTCAGAGGTGCTTTGAAAAGGAAAACTTACTACTGTGCATTTGCAAAACCTTTTAGTGCCTGCTTGCTGGGCAGCTTGGGCAAGAGACAATTTGGAAGCTGCCAGAGTCAGCGGAAAATCATGGAGACAGGCTTTTCTAGGATATCTTCTTCTTTTACTGGGTTAGCTTTTCTCTGGTTTCTGTTCAGATTGAAAGTGGTCGTGCAAAAAACCTCGTAAAACAAAAAACCGAACAACCACGACAAAATAAGGTCTATGGCAGTCCCAGAGAACCTGAGGTAGATGATGGTAGGGATGATGTGAACTCCATTACGTACCCTTTTCTTGCTGAAGCTTGCATGCTGTTATTTTGGCAGTTGTCTAAAGCCCTGGGGCTTTGTGGATGGTAGTTTCCCAGGGTTATGATTTCTGGTTTTATCTTTCCTTGGAGCTCAGGTGTATTCTGGTGCAGAGAATCTCAGCCTTGTTTGAATGAGAAGATTTGAGGCTATCCCAAATAGACGTGGGCAAACCTTTCACTGTGTGCAGAATGAGTTTCCAGACCTTTGGGTACTGCTAGAGATTGTTGCAATCCACTTATTTCTCCATGAGCACGTTCAGAATTGCTTCATTATTCTGTTGTGTTTAAACTTGGGAATAATGGTTTGATGGCTCTTTTTTGTTGAGGTGTGATGTGAAGAAAGGTAGGAACCTTCCTGCTGTGCTAGGTGTTGCTTGTATTCAACCCTTGTTCGTTACTTGAAGCTCAGACGTCAGGATAATGGGAAAACATGAGAAAATGTGATGACTGATAGCTACATATGTTCCATTGGCTCTTCACTGATGAGGAGGGAAGCAATTAGTGACAATTAAAATAAATCTGCGTAAACCATCTGGACCTTAAGGTATATTCAGACATACAACCCAATTGGAAAGCGATGTTGATAAAATAATATGGAGTATCATTACCTGTTGTATATTAAAAGACTTAAAACAAAACCAAAACCAAAACCACAAACCACAATAAAACAAAGTGTGGCAAACAGACAAAAATTATTTGAGAGCCTAAACTTTCCTTCCCCCCTCCTCTGGGACACATGCAGCAAGGCCACTGTTTGGAAGCCAGACGCTTTGAAGTACACGGAGTTACTTGGATTTGTGCAATGCTGTGTTTGTCAGATGGTCTTTTACAGCAAGCGTAGAAAGTGGCCACGGTCTCAAACTCATTGCAGATTCCTTGGTGACAGTCCTCCTGGGTTTCAACCCCAGCTCTGCCACAAAGTTGCTGTGTAACCTTGGGCAAGTGATTTAACCTTTCTGTGCCTACAGTTTACCCATCTGTCCATGGGTATAATAATATTTACCTACCTCACAGGGGTGTTGTGAGGCTTAAGTAAACACATGTGAGAGGTGCTGGAACTGCGCCGTAAAAAATCCATTCTTGTTGGGTTCATGCTGTTATCAGGAATGAGCAGTAAAGGGGTTTGTTACAACATGCAGAAGGAAAACCTGCTAGTGCGTGCATGTGTCGAGAAAGTGATCTTAAGTCTTTTTTCTCCCCAAAAGCAAGAAATGGAGAATATTATTGTGTGCTGACTGAATAGCCTTGATTTCCTGGTCAAATGTAACAGCACTGTTTGCAATTTTGTTTTCTTACAAACAGGTGACTCTTCCCTTTTCCTTTCAGTTTCTGGAAACTTGAACTAAAGATCACAAAAGTATTTCTGAACCTAACAGCTTACTGATGAATACTTGAATTTCTTTAAAAGTTGCTCTCATCAGCCACGGTTAATGTGCACTAATCATTCAGTCATCGGCTTCCATCTGAATACAGTGAAAAATTTGCTCACGCTGTTTTGGAATAGCCTGGACCTTATTTGGGAGGCTGGTATCCTGTTTGCTGAGGACTCTTGTAGGCATGGGAAAACTAGAGTCTCAACTGATAAACATGTGAAAAATCTTTTCTTTTTTGTTTTTGCCTTTTAAGTTTCCTGCCTGCCTAAGACAGCACAAGAATTGCGGTGTACTTGGTTGTACAGTAGCTTTTTTTAACTGTTTCCTTATGTGAAGGGTGCAGGTGGGTTGTGAAAGGATAAGCTAGACTCAGTGCTGCTCACATGCAACTCTTCTCAAAGTACCCACTTCCCTGGAGAAAAATCTGTGCCACATCTAGAGAGACTAGACCAGGTCTGCCTTCACCATCCTTCCACAGGCAAAACTTCCCTTGCCGTCCATGGAAGTTTTGGCTGTCAGTTATGTGTCCATTGAGGTGAATTCATCCATGGTTGAACCCCAAGACACTGGGGTGAAACCCAGGATAACATTCTTTAGAACAAGGGAAGGGATCCAGTTCATTGCTTCAAGTATCACAACTGGCTGGATAACTCAGAAGGGAAAAAAAGGCATGTGATAGAAAGCTCAAGGGACTTTTGTGGTTTTGAGCCAAGTGTTTTTGTTGTCTAAGCATGCTGACCATTATATAATGTCTCTTTTGGAAATGCAGTGCAAAGCAAGACTCCCTGCTCCCTTTTAGAAAAGCTTTTTGAAGTCGACCCACGCACTCCTTACTCAGGCAAAACTCTTGGGTTTTGTTACTGGGTCTTATTTTCTCTCCTGAGTAAGGACTGTGAAATCTGGTCTGTTCTGGGTAACTGCGTGGTGTTTCAGGTGGCTGTTGTCTTCTTAACCCAAGATTTGCCTTGCATGAAGCAAGAACAAAGCTCTGTCTTGGTCTGCCACATACCTTCTGTGTCCCTTTTCTGTATCCACCATGGGGAGGTAGTTTAAAATCATCTGGCTACATGGGCCAGGCACTTCCACATGACTAACCAGGCAGCTGCATATCTTCCTGCTGGGGCAGAGCAAGTTCAGCAGCTCTACTTATGCAGATGGGCATCTGCGTCAGCTTTGGGTCTGCTCCTTCCCCATTCTTCTCCCCAGCTGTTCGTTTGCCCTGTTTTAAGCACTCAGCTCAGTGCTTCTGGGTTCTTTTTACTACTCATGTTCCAAAAAGATTGATGCTGGGACAAAAACAGCAATGTAACTCCTTCGGTGCTATGCTAACTGCTCTGTTCGACCCAACCAAATGCTGGCCAACATACAGATTTTCCCTCTTTGTCCTAAGAAGCACCACACATCTGTGTCTTGAACAGGGATGGACTAAGAGGGGTGAGAGAGGGCAAGTGTGATTTTGAAAGCAATTACAGTTTCATGTGTATCTAGTAGAGAAAAAATAAGATATAAATGCAGAGTGCTTTCAAAGCTAGTTATCGCCCATCTCGTGGAATTAAATAGGATATAGCCTATAAAATATTGAGGGCATTATATATATATATATTTAAAGAAAAAAGTTCACCTGATCAATAAATCACCCTTTAACTTTCCTGAAAATGCACTGTTCACCAGTAAATACATCTGGCTGTGTTTGCACCTGGTTATTTTGCTTTGATCCACTTCAGCAGCAATGGCTACTTTAACTGCAAAGGTAGAGAAGTGGGAGGAGAGTGAAAACTCCATCTAGTATGTATTAGGCCTCGCGTGAAGTGGGTGGCTATGAATTTTCAGGATTAAAGGGACTAATCAACATGTATGTCTCTGTCTATATACACAGTCCTGTGGAAATATAGAAAAGCATACATGCCATGTTACTGCAACAGTATATGTGTTTTAATAATATATGAACACATTGTGAATTCCAAAGGGCTTTTTGAGGTGAGGAAGGTAATTTCTGGTGTGAGGTGCTAGTAGTTTGGGATTTGCAAGCAGGGCTGAAATGAACATTCTTTGTATGTATTTTAAGTAAAAATAGGGAAGAAAGACTATCAAAAGCTTAAGGTCCTTCTGAGGAAATGCTGTACCACTTGATCTTCTTAAGGAATTTGGAAGCCAACATCAGACCAAAAGTGAGAGCCAAATGCAGTTACCAGTATAAATCAGTAAAGCTCCATTGATGTCCAGGCGCCTCCTTATACTCACTGTCCTGAAAACAGTAATTTCTACTGGTGCTGGTTTTGTTTTGTTTTTCTTAACCTGGGATGACAGTTTTCCTGTTTGAGCTTGTAGATTTTGTGAAAACCAAGGCAAAACTTGGAAAAAATCAGCAGTTTTTTTCCAAGCGGAGTCATCTGAGTGTTGCATACCCCCGACCTACACAGGGGCTTTGTAGTATCTGGGTTTAGTTGAGCATTGCCATTGCAGGGAGAGCAGCCCTGTTAAT